GAAAGAAATCAAGCCTCTAATAAAGTTTTACTCAATCTTATGCGATTAAATTGATCCCGTATAATCAAGTAAACATCTATGGAAACACTACAATGTTAAGTGATAACATTCGAAAATCTTACATTTGAAAAAAAACGGTAAGTGAAACCTGGCAAATGTTTACGTTCTAAACGGCAAAAATTTCGAACTTTTTAGATCGTTTAAGATATTGGCAATTCCTAACGTCATTTTTAAGCGCTTCAGTGTTCAACGTTTTTTTCCCGTAACTGCAACAGATCATCGCCATCACCACGAACGTTGAATTTCTAAACCCAATTCCATCGTTTCACATCAATCTCATCCCAACAGAGCAAATGTTTCTACAATAATGACCCTTCTTATAATTCATTACTGCCGGCTGTCTTCATATGAAAAGAGATAACAGATGCACATTTTAAAGTCATCTATAACATTTTCATATAACGCTCTTAAGCAATTCAGTAAAGGTCTTTGGAACACAATGCAAACAAAATAAATCACTTGAAAACAGCACTAAATTTGAGTGAAATTTAAACTAATACCATAAAAATAACAATTTCGTTTTGATTCATTTGAATGTTCTTCATTAATAAAGTTAGTGCAAGTATTTTTGATGTAAATCTCACTTTATATGAAGCAATTATCACTACGAATACGATCACAATCAATGTAATAAGTTTATTTAAATGGATATCATAACGAAATGATATCCACAAAATTGAATACAACAAAAAGCGTTAATAACTAATTGAAATGCTTATGTAAGACAAGATCCTAAAATATAATCAGTCGAGTGTTAATACGTGTATCTTGAAGTGATTCCATTCATATAACTCATTGCTATCAATAAATATTAAAACAACTTGTTCAAACAAAACGCCATAGTAATCAAACGAATAATAATACTAATATGAATGATATTTATATCTAATATGAATGATTGATTGTAACAATAATCGCAGTAATAACAACAAGAATGGTGATAATAAAATAATGAATGGACAAATGCAATAAATGTAAAAACAAGATGAATATAATCACTAGAGTAATCGTAAACTTAACTATTCCTATCAGTCAACACCAAATCAACGCAACTTATCACCACCCTACAATCCCAGTCCATCACCATCCAATGATCTCTACAGCAATACCTCTCATCAAACGGTAATAATTACCTCCAGTATTCCATCCAGAACACATTTTTGACTTGTTCATTCGTTCACCATACGATGTCATATAATTCATTGATAAAAAACAACTCACTCTTTCACCAAATGAAATTCAAAATAATTATTCATTATCAGTCTGAATAATGAGTTCATGACAACATCAAATGCAGCGAAACCTAATCGCCTAATAATAACCAGGAAAGAGATCCGAACCATTCTAGAAACATAACCCACACGAACGACGCGTGCACAATAACTATACATAGCACATATGAAATCAATGATCAAACACTAAAATCGTTATCAAATAATGTGAAGAATGCGTATCAATATGAAGCGCAATAATGCGAATGCAATTCAGTTGAATTAAATACAACCTAATCACAAATATTCAAGTATATAATCACACATAATAAGTTTAACTATAAATAAGCATAAGTAAAGTGATAATTATCTCTCCAAACAGCTAATAAAGTTTATGCACAATCAAAATCAGTTATCACTAAATCAATCAATCGTTTCTTTCAAAATCCAACACGAGATGATAAATCAATGCAAACAAACAATTATACATACGCACATATATATAAATACAAAAAAANACTGTTTCAAACGCAGCCGAATTGTCCCACCTCCCTCCTGTCCACCCTTAGAAGTGTATTTTTTTACAGTTTGCCTCTTTCAATAGAGACAAGAACATTGTAATTTATTCCTTAAAAGTTGATATTTCTTTCGTTTTGTTTTTGCAAAGTCGCACCCTCCAAATGATGACGCATTCTCGCCCATTGTGAAAATGCGCAATCGCTCACGTTGAGAAACACTGTTCTAAACTCAGCACGATGACCTTCTTTGATGAGGGACGCGTATGCTGCACAAAAATATCGAGTAGTAATACTATTCTAAACAACGAATTCATTCAACTGACAACACTGTTCGTGGCGACAACATTAAATACATTTTCACTGCCACTGAATTTGTTCTCCTTTTCGGTGTGTCGTTCTGATTGCACCTCGAACGTCCAATCACCGTTGAAATGATCAACTCGTGGCTTCACCTTAATTTTTATCTTGTAAAAATATCAATTCAGTCATTATGTGATCACACTGAGAACTGTTTGAGATTCACGATAAAGTGAGTGAAACAATGCTGATAATACTGATAACAACCATAATAATTGAAAAAAGAAGAATAAAAATGAACCTGCTGAAGACCGAGCTCAATTTTTGACTGCTCTCTTATTTCGTACTTCTTCACTTTACCCGATACTGTTAGCGGGAATTCGTTTTCTTTTTTGAATAAGATATATTTCGGTATTTTGAAGTGAGCAATCTAAAAGTGAGTAACGTTCGAATTAATTAGATAATATCTGCGCGTACATTCATTTATTTCAGAGCAATCCAATTGATATGAAAGTGGTTTAGCAATTCGACGCAATATATTGCATTTGTCGTATAATATCAGTGGAATCAGTGGAAACAGAACAATGAACTTAAACTTAATCAACTTAAAGCACTAACCCGTCCCTTACAAAAATCTTGAATATCTTTTTCGGTGACATTCTTCGCCGCCTCACTGAGCCTTATCCAAGCACATACAACTTCACCGTATCTTTCGTCCGGCACACCAACAATCTGCAATATCGTTAATATCGCAATCGAACA